TCGGTCATTTTTTTGTTTTCTTTTTTTTCTATTCCTTTTTCTTCTTTTGTCTTCTAGTAGTTATAATACCAGTGACTTCCTTGTACCAGGCCTGTTGTGTACATCTGTACAGAACACACTGAGTATGTGGCTGTAATGCAGGGCATTGTGCAGCTCAATTCTTTTGTCCTGTATATGTGTGCAGCTTCCAGCTGGACAGCCAGATCTGTGCTATGTTTTCTGGAGGAAATCTTTGTTGCTAGTAAAAACCCTCTCTGTAGTATTGTGGTCTGTTCCAAGGACATGGGTGCTGTCCTCTGCTGTCCACACTGTTTTCCCAGTGATCTACCAAAATCTGTCCCTGTATTTTGGCCCCAAACCTCTACTGCATTTCTTCTGGAGATTTTAGGTAGAACCAGAGTGAAATAGAAGCTTGCCTTTACTTGGGAAGGAGGAAAAAAAAGAGTAGAAAGATTGATAGAGAAGTGAGGCTTTGGAATAACTAGTGAACTGAGCACTGGGCTGCTGTGGTGTCTAGGAGGCACAGCTACAGCAGTGTGGTATGAGTTGGGTAGTACAAATAGTACAAGAATTCTTGTTGTGCATATTTTAAATAGTGTCTGTGTCTGGGTAGGAAGGAAAATGACACATATTAATCCTTTCCTTCCAACCCAAGTAGGTTCCAGTTGGATAATGCATAATGTGACAGACCTGTATTGTAGCTGTTTGCCAAACAGGCTTTGCTTCTTCATGTGTGCCTTGTTCAGATTTACTAGTGCAGCTGAATTTCCAGCAGAGGAACCTCCATCACTTGGGCTGGGGAAGATGTCTTTGACCTGCAAGTTAGCGGTAAAGAAATATAAGTGAAGTTTGCTAATTGACCTATTAATACATCCCTGGATGTCACTCACTAAGAACAGAGGTGTCTCCTTGCCATTTTCTCCTTGAAGGGGGAATAGAACTTTCATCCCATTACTTCAAAAGTGCAGCCTCTAAGCTGGTGTGTGTGCTTTGTAGCATGTAGTAAAGTTTATTCTGCCCACTTGACCTCAACAAGTTGATGTAACAGAAGCTGCAGCTGGGGAATACAAATTATACTTTTGATAGCCTTTTTTATTTTTCCCCTGGTAATTCTTAGGTCAAAACTTAATGAACCAAAATTATACACTATTTTATTCTCTGTAGATCTGGGCATATAACTTTAATAGTAGGTCTGGGATGGTTCACTGGCTTGTATTTTATACTATTGCCTGTCACAGAAGCTGAATGAAACAAGCTTGTTATATCAGATTTGTCAGTATAACTTAGAGCAGTGTCGTTCTGCTGTCTGATGCTCTTCTGATTCTGTCATGAAACCATTTATCTCTGTTAAGTCTTTACAGTAACTTTACGTGTCAGTCATGAAGCATGAAATATCTTCTCTTAAAGATTTTTGTATAAGAACCTGATACGTTGAATGCTGTATCAGTCCTCTTAAGTGACACATCTGCTGAAAGCTCCCCTGCTCCCTTCAGCAAATATTGATTTATACCAAATGTCCACTGGCTGGAGATAATCTTTGAGAAACAAAACACAATTTACACTTTGATTAAAAGAGGAGCTGTATCTCCAGAATACTGTTTAAGTTACAAACCTCACGTATGTTTGAGGTACCACCAGCAGCACTGACAGAAACCAAACGTGTAATCCTGCAAATGGCTGTAATTTTTGCTGTGGAAGTACTTTGCGAGGGGAAATTGTAATGGTGGCTTCTTGGTTTTGATCTGTAGGCTTGAAAATAGAGCTGCTAAACAAAAACATTGTAGGACTTCCTTTTCCAAGTAGATTTTTAGCACTTTTGATTGTCTTGCTTCACAGAAGATCCCTTCTCTTCCCTCCCTACTTCCATGCACACTCTTTTTTCTACTTCCTCTGTATAGGGAGGAGTCACCTGAAGGCCTTTCCTCTCGAAGAGCAGTGGGTTTGAGTTGAAAACCACAGGACAGAAGATGTAAGCAATGGTGCTCATAGACAGGATAAGACAGTGGCAGTTCAGAAGAGCCTTACCTGTGCATCCCAGTGCCCAGGTGTTTGGATGAGGCTCCATCCTCCTCAATAACTCAGTGTTTGAATTTCTAGAGTGGATCATTCAGAGCCTCTGATGGGTGATATCACATGTGATGTGTGCAAGGCAGCAAGGTGAGAGCAGCAACAGGCAAAGCAGGAATCTCAGTACTGGGGGTAGAGTGCTGTGCTAGAGCAGAGTCTCTCCTCAGTAAAACCTAGGCAATAGTGAAAATCTTGGGAAAGAGGCTGCAGCTCTCTCAGCTGGGGATGTGGCTTCTCCATGCAGCTGGTAGCCACTTTTTCAATGTGCCACCTCAGTAGCACGGTCAATCCTTCCTGGCCAGTTGTGGCCAGAATAAGAGGAGTTGGAGGATACCTCTGCTCTTCTGCCTTACCTTTAAACTAAATTGGAAGGGAAGTCCAGAGTTGGCATCTGCCTTCCTCCCAACCAGTAATGAACAGGTAGAGTGCTGATACGTACCCACAAGCATAGCTGCAGGCCCAGAAGTTGTGTTTGTGGTTGCATCCTAATTTGCAAAGGACCCTTACCCACACCTTTTGATTTCTTGAGCGATCAGACTCAAATGCTTTTGATTTTGAAGTGTGACTGCTGTCTCAATTCCTCAGGAGAAGGAGAAGTCCTGCTGGAGCAGGAGTTTGGAAAGTTGTGTTGAAAGCTAGGAATGATCCCTCACTCATGGCCTCCTACCCTGTCATCAGCAGAAGAGGGGAAGTCACATCCCTGAAGAGTGAGACCACTTTGTGCAGCAAGAGGAGCTGAATAGCTGGCTTTAGCTGCAGCAGAGACTGGTGTTTGTGTGGAGGAAAAATAGAATAAACATAAACTTCTGCGGTAGTTGTAGCAGGAAGAGTGAACTCTGATAGCCTGGGTTATAAAGCAGCTTTGGTATGGAAGAAAGAAAAAACAGGGCTTTCTTCCAAGGCCTAGCAAATATATGCTTAGCTCTTTATTACTGTCCTAGAAACATCCCTGGAAGTGTCTAAGCAACGTGTATCTGGACAGTGCAGCCCTGAAGTTTCCCTTGGCCCTTTCAGGGACAAGATCTAGCTGCCCAGGGATCTTCTGCAGTTCAAGTTAGTGCTCAGGGCTTTGCAGAAACCAGACATGTAGCTACTTCTGCAGCAGTGACTTGAAAAAGAGGAAAAATTGTGTCCAATTTTACCATGCAGGGTGGAAACCCAGCTAGGAAAATTGTCCTGTGACTTGGGAGTGGGGTTTCATTAACCAGGTTTCATTCGTCAGGCCCCATCTTGTAGTGAAGTATTTCTGTGTGGAAGGTGTCATATCCTGATGGTGAATTACAAACTAACTGGAATTTCTTACCAGTGATGAGACAGTTAAGCAGCCCTCCTAGGGGAAAGCAGTAAAGAGCATTTTCCTCTTGGTGGCAAAAGTTTTGACAGATTTTGCCCCATCAGAATTAGAAGGATCCGACTGTGACCTGTCAAGGGAACTTGACTTCAGAGATGTAGCTCTGCTGAATTCTCTGCCATCAGACGCTCTCAACATTATTTCCCCCTTTCTGAGGTATTATCACTTACTTTGTCTCAGTAAGGGTTTGTTGGGGTTTTTTATTAAGGTTTGCAGGCTTCCCCCAGAAACAAAATACAGTTGAGCCACAAAAGCAAATAGTCGATTGGGTCTGATTTACTCTCTTCAAGAGTGTTTTCTTCAAGTTGCTGCAACCTTTTCATAGCTCCTTTGTTCTGCAGTGATCAGGAGCTCTGGATTCACTTAATTTCCTGCCAATTCCTGTGCACTGACAGCCCTCTATTTGTTTTCTCCCATGCTTTATTGTGCCTTGTTGTGACTGCCAGTAGAAAGTGCTAGGAAGGCCAGCTGAGGTGCACTTTATTGCTTGCCTTCCCTGCCTTTAATCTAGCTATAGAAACTCATGCTGTTACCTACACTGTAGTTTGGGTTGAGGAGAGAGTCTTGGTGGCCATTTGTGTCTGCTGCTGCAGAGGAAGGCTGGTAGTTCAAGTTTCCAATGCCAGTTGTAATTTTTTAAGCTCCAGAGGAAATGGTTGACCTTAAGCGTGATAGAAACGCTGCAGTAAATGTCTCCTAGTGGGTGGAGGAAGATGCTGACAAGTGTCTGTTTTGCTCTGCTCCTTGGTTTGTTCTCAGCAAGTCTGCTTGCTTACCTCTGCCCGGCAGGGAAGGGGATAGATGCTGGAGACGAATAGGGATGCTAAATTTTTGGCTTAAACACTGTACTTGAAATCCAGTTTTTGCTTTTGAAGTACATGTCTTAGTTCTGGCCCTCCTTTACCCAAGCCGCACGTGCATTTCTCTGGAGTGAAGCCTAGCAAAAGTATGTTTGTGAAACACTTCACAACCCATGAATGCAAATGCTGTCAAATGCAAACCTCTTTTATTCTTTTGTCACGTTTTTTAATGTTGTTTCAAGCTCATTGCTGTAGACCTATGCTGCTTGGGAGGTGCAAGGAGAGCAGCATGAGGGCCAGCCCCTCTGAGCTGGGGAGATCTGTCCCACTCGGGTTTCAGTAACACAATGCTTTGTGCAGCCATGTGCATGCACAAAGAGCCAACTGGCTGGAGCTCCTGTGGTGACGCTTGGCTGATTTGGCAGCCGGATTGATTCTGTCAAGTTACAGTATGGGAGTTAAGTCCAACTTCAAATCCTCTCCCTTACCCGCTCAAGAAACTTGGAGGGGGGAGGAGAGGGAAGAAGGGGGGAAAGCTCTCTGGAGACTTTGTGTCATTATTGGCATGGAAACATTTTGTGATTATCAGCAGCAGGGTAGTGGCAAGAGGCTGATTATCTATCATGTCGTCAGCATAAATAACCAGTGGGCCCCTGAGCAGGGCTCCGCCTTTTGTAATGGCTTCACGTAATCACTGCATAACAGTTTAAAAGCAAGCAGTACAGAAAAACAGCTGGACTGATTCTGACCCTAACTGATGTTACCTTTTCTCCCCTCACTAGAAGAGAAATATGTCACTATCCAGCCGTACGCCAGCCAGGGGAAGGATGAGATTGGGTTCGAGAAAGGGGTCACCGTGGAGGTCATCCAAAAGAACCTGGAAGGATGGTGGTACATAAGGTAAAGAAGCTCCGCAGCCTGATCGTTACAGAAACTGTGACAATGAGCTTTTCTGATCATTCACTTAATGATAGAGTTTGAATACTTCTGTAGCTGGGCAAGGAAGCCCAAATTGTTCATAATGCCTCTTGAAGAAACATAAAGTCTAAGGCGATACAATGGTGATTAAAGTAACACTACAGTGTCTGCAAAGGCTGTGGACTGTTCCAGTGAGGAAATGCCTTAACTTGTAGTTTTAGAGGGTTTTTTTCTTGCTTCAAGTTAAAAGCCCATATCTGAGTTAAGATCTGTGAGACCTAACAAGGCTTTCTGTTGTGTGTGATTTCAATGTGTTTCCAGTATAAGAGTTATTCTGCAACATGTTTAAATCTATTTATAGTAATGCTGAAAGACCGATTGTGATCTCTTGAGCTGTTTGGGGCAGGTAAGTGCTACTTTCAGGGATATAAGAGATCAGTTTGCTGGCTACAGCCTTCTTCCAAACTTACCAATGGTTTCAACTAATTTGCCTTGACTTCTACCTGTCAACATTAGATATTCCTAATGTAGAGGGGCTATATTCCAAAAGCAGGTAAAGTTGTTATTGGGTATCAAACTTTGTTATGTATTTGGAACAGTAGTCTTAGCAGGGAGTTTTGACTTAAAAAACCTCCTTTTAAAATGCTTATGGGGAAGAGCGTAGGTTAGATGCTGTCTCAATGATGTAAGGTGTCAGGGTAAGTACTTAATGAGAACTTTCTTCATCTGGGTTCACACAGCATTTAGGTTTTAGTGCTCTTTTATGATTCTGCTCCTTATCTTGTATCTTAGTGTGAATCTGGCAGTGCTGTGATATCCCATTGCTCTTTAAACAAGATGTGATGCAATAGGTAGCTAAAAAATGAAGGTTTATCTCTCAGCACTGCAAAACATCTCATCTAGTCATCTTTTTCCATTCAACTTGTAATTACAGTGATTATTTTTTCCCCTTTCCCTCCCTAAGTCATAACTTGCTTTTGTTTGAATTCTGCTTAATTTATTGACTATGAATGAGGACTATGAAAATGCTGACTGAAGCAATGTTGTTGTTTTTCTTGATTTCCCTTACTTAGAAAGCTGATTTTTTTTCTTCTATTTAATGGTCCCATAGAGCGAATAAGCTAATAAAGATAGCAGTGGAGCCAGGAAGGCACTCTAGATAGGAGGAACTCAAAAATGCCTGGGTTTGGTCAGGTCACATTTTTTTCTCCTTTAATCATTCACAGAAGTGGAATCCAAAGTTGCAGATAGGGGAATTGAGCGCATAGGTTTTCTGAGGGGAGAACCATTGCAAGACATCTCTAGTTGTTTTTTTTTTATTCTCTTTCTGAAATGTAGTCTGGTTACTACTGTAGGTTTCCCTTTGATATGTTAACACTTCTACTATAAGCAGAATTTTTTTTCCCTGTTTTCTCACACACTCTTTTGGGCCAACCCAAAAGACACATTTTTTTGTATAGCAGAAGTGCCTTCTGCAGGATGGAGGCACTTGGTGCCATGTAAATCACTGCAGCTTCATTCATGGCAATCTGCTAGAAGGACAGTGGATGCCCCAGCCACCCCATGATACTTGAGGAATGCAGCATGTGCTTGGCTTTTTTGTAAGAGACCTCAACTCGATTTTGAGTTGACAAACCCCTCTTCTTGTCGAAAAAATTGATTAGGTGCTCCCCATATGTGTGACAAGCATGTGGAGTGTCAACTATCATCCTCTCTGCTGCTCTGGAGCATTACACTACACTCTTGCTGGAGGATTAAACTCTTAGAAAAAGGTTTTTTTTTTTCATGGGCAGCACTTCTGGAAACATTGATGCGATCCATCCCTGCAGGCTGGTCCTTTGCAGCCTGGGTAGCTGATCTTCAACTTCTTGTGCTGTTCAGTGTATGTAAACTGCCCTGAGTACTGTTAGGTACCCCTCAGAGAAGGATTCCATTTCTGCAGAAATTCACTTTTCTGAGTATTGAGTGCCTTAGAAGGAGCAACTCCTCCTGTCATGAGTGTGAGGGGAGAGGGGCAGGAAGAGAATGCAGTTGACTCCTGCTGACTGGATAACAGACTGAGTACACTTCAATGTGTAGAAGTAAAAACAAATCCAGTAGTTTGCAATGGAATCCACCTTAAAGACATTAGCTTGTTCCACCTTAAATACGTAATTTCTCCAAATTCTTGGCCATGTGCTGATCCTCATTTCCTGTCCTTATTTTTTTCTTTTCTTTTCTTTTTTTTTTCCTTTTTTTCCTCTAGTTTGCTTCCCTCTGGAGTAATTCCAGTGCTCTGGAGCTGGAAAGCAGATGTGACTCTCAGACTTACAGAGGCACTTCTGACTTTTTTTTAACATTCCTATGGTTTTAATCCATTTTTTCCTTCATGTAAGATAAACAGGGAGGATTTTAGAATCAAGAAGGAACCAAATCACTGCACCTAATTCTGAAACCCTGTAGAAGCTAGAAGAAATATTGGTATCTGTCTTTATTTTTTCCTGTGTGCACTATGGCTCTTTAAAAAAAAACATCAGGACTCTGGGGAAATGAAAGAAAGGCTCTGACCTGGGATCCTTCTCACTGTTCTGTTGCATGCAGTAGGTCTGCTTCCTGGTGTGCCCAAAGCTGGCATTAACATCCATCATTTAGATCTTACTTTGTATCTATTTCTGTCACCTGGAGGTAGTCTCATGGTGCCCAAGTGGACTTGACTGCAGGGCAAATAAGTACCAATATGCTAAGTATGGCTTTTGTTATTTGCCTGTATCTTCATTTTGTGGTTATTCTGAGCCTCAGCCCATGTGAATGAAGTGCAGCTGGGAGGTGTTAGCAGCACTGAAACGAGGAGGAATCTAGGATGGGGTTTGAAACGTTTCCAGTAGCTTGTGAATATAAAAGAAGGAAGGATGCTTGTGTTTCAACTCTTAGATATGAAATGAAGATCATTACCAGTCCAGGACTTCTCTGAAGCTGATTATGAGTTGCTTTAGTTCTTTCACCTATAAAATAAGGAGATACAGTAGTCTTCTAAGCTTATGTTTGCAAAGAGCTTTAGGATTACCAAATTCAAGGACTAAAGTAAAAAATGTAAGCCTATTTGACTTACATAAATAACTTTTATTTGTGATGTTGTAGAAATAAACTGGCAGTTGCTGGCAACTACTGCTCAGCATTCACTCCAGGTTGTATTGACTAACTCCAGGGAAGTAATAGCCTGCAAACAGCCTCCCTACTGAGGATATGTTGCTCAGAGTTATTAACTGTCCAGCTATTGCTGCTAATATTCATTGGGAGAAACTATGTGGGATCAGAGGTGTTTGAAGCAGTGGGGTTATACAGGCTGATCCAAATACATACAGTTGGCAGGAGAACTGACAAGCCAGAACAGAACCTGCCTGTGGCTGCCTTTCTGATCTTAAACACGTTAAGTCTCCCACAAACTAAGATGGATGTAAACTGTTTTTTCTTGCTGATTTTGCACAATCAAGCTCTGTTGAAAGTAACCTTTGGAACTGGACATTCCACAGCACATTTGTGAATCCACAGTGCATTGACCACTGTGGCTTTCTCACAAATGAAGACCTTTACATCTATAGGTCATGTAAACTTATAAAATGTCCTTTAAAAAAAAACTTTCTTGATGCACAGAAAGCATTGGTCAGTAGCTCTGCAAAAGAACTATCGACTGCAAAAGGGAATGAAGCCAAAAGTCTTCAGGGCTGGAAAATGGCACTAAGAGATGCCTTGCCACAACAGGAAACGTTAGCACATGTTGAGGCCTTTCTTCCTTTTCTTTTAGGGTTTGGTATGAGGCTTAGCAGAAAAAACTCAAAAAGGACAGGATTGAATAGATCCAAATTGCATCTTGACATAGTATCACACAGTGGATGCTGTGTATCAGCATCAGATTTGAAATCAGATCAAGTCATTACCATTTTGCTACTTCTTGTTAGTCTCCATGTGTCAAACAAGGCTCAGAGCTGTTGGGATGCTTTCCACCCACTCCAGAATCTTTGGGAAAACTTGTCCCTAAACTCCCTGAGCAGGGGAGATCCCATATCTTTGCCTTCATGTGTGACAGAAGGCAGGTATCTAGGGAGAAGCAGCATCTCTAGTATCCTGGCTCATCTAGGGGACTGGGGAGGAAAAGGCAGGATTTTGGACAGAAAAGTCCTTGTAGTCATTGCTAGAAATACAGCATTTATATTTGCTTTTGTACAGGAACAGTAATGAAGTCTAGGGAATCAAATCTAAACTGTGTTTTCCTGTTCTCCCCATAAAGTCCCAGTGCCATTCAAGTGTCTGGATATGGTGAATGAGGCCAGGATGTGACTTGATGAAGAAATCTCACCACAAACCTCAGAATCCACATATTGTCATAACAAAGATGCTCACCTGCCAAGGAGTGATTTGCTCATATCCCACATGCCCCGGTTCCTTCCTCTGCTGTCTAATGAGGTTCCATTTTCATTAAAGAGCCTTAAAGTCCTACTGTTTTAACCTTTGGATTTCCTGCAGATTTCCTGAGCACCAGAATTTTAATGGTGCCTGGTTTCCCACTTTCAGCTCAAGCGCCTGCTTTGGGTATCTTGAGAGATTAAAGAGAGAAAGGTTTCAGTGACTCACTCTGTAGCAAGTTAGGATTTCATTAGGGAAAGCAGAGTTCATCCACGTGGTCCTCCCTGGAGTCTGATTGTAATCTGAAATCCCTGCTGAGGTGTTAGGAATGGCAGGAGTTAGAAAAAACATCTTCCCCAAAACCAAGTTGTGGAAGAATGACTTCAGTTTGAAGTGGAGCATGATCAGCTCAGTCTGGTGTTTCGGGAACACATACTGGATTCAGGTGTCTGTTCAGATTTCCCAGTTTATTTCTTGAAATAGCCTTTAGCTTGTTCAGGGAAATGAATCTCCGTTGAAGCCTTTTTCCCTTAGTCAAATTGTTTCTTGATCTTGCAGTGCTAGAAGAAGCTATAGTACTTTAAGGGTCCCATGTTCTCCATAAGAGAAAGCTGGTCATACAGAACAGGGAGTTATGGAAAGAGGGGCAGTGTCCATTATAATTGCAAGGAGGGAGGCTTGCACAAGGGTCTTATAAACTGCAGGCACCAAGTCTCTCTACTGGGCTCTGTACACCCTATTTTAGCCTTTTCCATTTTGAGTTGCTATTAGGAAGTATAAAAACTATTAAAATATTTTACTCACTAGTTTGCTTTTTTGCAGTATGGGAAAATACTGAGTTTACTTAGTCTTGTCAAAGGGGGGGGGGGCATAAAACAAACTGGTGAAGGACTTTACCTTGTGAGTAACTGTATTTCTTGTCCAGAAAGACTCCTTCCTTAGTGTGATTAGTGGCTTTTAACTCCACAGTTCACTACTAGCTCAGCTGACTTTGACATGTCCAATCAATAGGTAATAAATTAATAGAGACCACGAAAATCTTATTTGAGAACTGCAAATTTTGTTTATCATCCATCACTTTTGCTTTAGCTGTTCTACCTGAAATGCGTCAGAAGGCTGTGTTTGATGTGGTGATGTTTCCTTTTGCATCTGCAGGTATCTAGGCAAAGAGGGCTGGGCCCCAGCTTCATATCTGAAGAAGGCTAAAGATGATCTTCCATCTAGAAAAAAGAACTTAACTGGGCCAGTGGAAATCATAGGAAATATCATGGAGATCAGTAACCTGCTGAACAAGAAATCATCCACTGACAAGGAAGCTCAAGTAGAAAATGAGACTGCAGAAACACATATCACCAAGAAGGAAATCAGTTTGCCCATCCTGTGCAATGACTCTAATGGCAATGCCATGATGACCTCAGACAAGCAGGTTTCCAGACTGGCCCAGGGATCCCCAGCCATAGCAAGGATAGCACCACAAAGAGCTCAAATAAGTAAGGCAGAAAAGTAGTCTGGGTTTTCATGGGCTTGCAATCAATTTTATTCTCTACCTTTCAGGACTGGCATTGCCTGCTAAGGTCCCACATGTCCTGGCCTTATAGCCAAGTCCACACAAGCAGACCTTTGCACTGTCTATAGATCTATCTACAGGGACTCCAGAATGTGGTCCTTCAATTGTAGCGATAAAATTTGACTTCATTTTATACAAGGGCTGGATGGTGGCTCTTTAACTTACCCTACTTGTGTTTACTTTGTTATTTTTTCCCAGAGAAGACTTTTTGTTCCTTTTGAACACTCTAAAATGTGCTCCTGCCCCAGAAATGCAGATGATGTGATGGTGTATTCAAGTCAAGGAAACAACCTGTGTCTTCTCTTGTATTTGTTCTGCTGTTTTTCTGGGGGCAAGTTGCTATAATGTTTTTACTACTTCATCTGCAAAATGCAAATGCTGACACTAGTCTGTGCAAGGAATGGCTAAATACTATGATAGAGGACAGTGTGAGTGTTATTAATTTACTGGATTATTTTTACTGCTGGGGGGGAAAACTAGGTGTTAAGCCAGTTCTTTGCTGGCCAGTGTCCAATGGAGCTGGTCAGTTCCAGCAGAAAATACAATCCACTACTTTCTGGCAGTGATTTCCCTGTAAATTTACTGGCTTAGCTGAGATGAATAGCTAAGCTACCCTGGTATTTCTAATATACCCTCATAGTTTCCTATCTTGTTTCATAGAGATGCCTTAAATATTGCAAATACTGACTTCTAATATTCTCAAACTGTGTAACAGCAGAGAGCTGCTGGAAAATGTGCTTAGCAGTACTTTCAAAGCTAAATAAACTCTCCTTTTTGCCCTTTCCTGCTCAGGTTCTCCAAATCTAAGAACGAGACCGCCCCCACGAAGAGAATCCAGTCTGGTTTGTATTGGTTTATGGTATATGTTAGCAGTGGGGTAGGTGTCTGGGTGCTTTGTGAGACTTTCTGCATCTCTACAGGGTGTGGGGGGTATCTGAGAGATCCCTTATTTGCATGCCTGTTCATTTAATTGTTTAAGTATTGAGCAAAACCCTGGACATCAAAATGTTGATTGGGGATTTCTGTTATTCAAAATGCTGCCCCAAATAATCAGATCTGAAGGGAGAACTTACTAAGGCTCATGTTCTGTACATGGGCATTAAAGCTTGTTTGGCTGACTCAGAAGGTTTTAAGTTCCTCCTAGTATCTTTGGTCCGGACTGATTTTTTTTACATTTTCTTGTCTTAAGCAACTGGGAATGTATCCCCCTCTTCCCATGGCTGCCATCTTTGAGGTGGCTAAGATTCACTCTTGTGTGTGTTTCAAGTGCTTGGAATCTTATGGAAGGATGTATGCTATAGTAATGAGACCTCCTATGATTTCTTATCCTCCAAGTGGAATTCTGGAAGTTTGTACTAATTGGAGATTAGAACTGTCATCTTCAGATAGGAGCTACTCAGTGTATTTGCACAAAAGTCATGCTAATAGCTTGTTTATCTAGGCAGTGTTTAATCTTTGCTGTACCCTTTATGAGCAGTATGTGACTTGTAATTTGTGTCATCTCAACTGCTTCTTAAACTAGATGAATAGCATATTAGCATTTTCTTCCTATTTTTCTTTGCATTATTTTCAATTAGATTTGTTTTGGTGAGACTACAACACTTAATCCCATGCTAAAAGTAACAGTGATATTATATGTGAAACTCTGAACATATCTGCTGTTTCCAATTATCTTCATTTAATCCAAACCATCCTATTATCTGAAGGCATTTTATTATAGTGTGCTTCTGCTGTATTTCAGCATTTATAGTGCAGAAACATCCAATTATAACATTGTTAGACACGGTTCCTAAGGTGCAGAGATGCATTCTCTGAGAAATGCTACATGCTGTGCGTGATGAAACATCAACTGTTAGTTACAAGGGTATCTTAGAAATGGAGGAGCATGAGAATAAAGCACAGTATGCAGCTCGCCGTTCTCCAGTTAACATTTTAGGATTATTTTGTGTCTTTGGCAATCCTGTGTCTGTGGATGCTCTGACCTGTGGTCAGGAGATCCTGACACAACTGCAGTTCTTTCATAGAACTCCAAGCAGTGAAGTGTAGAAGCTGTGAAGCTTCACCATCATCTAGTTGTCCTGTAGATGAGCCCTATGCACTGAAAAGCTTTCAATATTGAAATTACTGAAAGGACTTTTATCCCGTTTATCACCTTAAAAATAATTGTAGCAAACTCTAAAATGTAACAGCTTAATGTAAAAGCTTTTAGAGTCTGGTATGCTGCCAGAATGGCTGTAAATAGCAATGTCCCACTTCTCATAGAGCCTTTATGAGCCTCTGTGTGTTGGGATTGAACAGAGGTTCTGGGTCTGTAACAGGGAAGAACTGGATTCTATAGTAGAGTCCTTCCCTTCTTCTAGCACTCTAGCTGAGCAAAGCTCTTCATAGGGGTCTATGATATTATCCTTGTTTCTTGATACAATAGGTGTCCATTAGCTCATATCACTGACTAATTCAGATTGTTTAAAAATCCAGCAGCAGATTAAGAGCAATAATTTATTGGGATTACATTTAATGATAGGCAGAATCTATTAGCAGCCTGTTGCAATGCAGTTTTCTGCAGCTGTGCAAGTTATCCAGAGCTGAGTCTTTCTGGACAAAAATCTCAGCATAAAAGAGCTGCTGTTACTGTGAGTGGAATGGTTGCTCACACTTTATGGCCCATGAGTAAAATGTTTTACTATTCAGGTGAAGATTATCACAGTTTTAATAGCTGGTGAAAGTGGCATGAACAGTGCATATGTTGAACAGCTTCTCTCTTGCGGCCCATATCAATACATCAGCTTCTGCTCTGGAGAACTGGGAAGTTATAATTAGGAAGTAGCACAGGAAGAAGGGAGAATTTTAGTGAATAAAGGCAATTATTTTCATACTGCTGTTCAGCTTACTGTTTCTTTGGTTTAATTGAACAAAATGTCCTATTTGCCCTAGGGTTTTCAGTTACCCAAGCCACCAGAGCCACCCTCTGTGGAAGTGGAATATTACACCATTGCAGAGTTCCAGTCGTGTATCTCTGATGGCATAAGCTTTCGTGGAGGACAAAAAGCAGAGGTGAGCCTTAACAGTGGAAAAATTATAATATTTGGCTATTGCAGGGGACTGGATTGAAAGAGGAGGAGTTTCCACAGCAATTGGTTGAGATTTTTGTCTAAGTAACATGTTCTTTGTCACCTCTTAGGTTATAGAAAAGAATTCTGGTGGCTGGTGGTATGTGCAGATTGGAGAGAAGGAAGGATGGGCTCCAGCATCTTACATTGACAAGAGGAAGAAGCCGAATTTAAACAGAAGAACCAGTACTTTAACCCGCCCAAAGGTTCCTCCCCCAGCACCTCCCAGTAAACCAAAAGACTCTGAAGAAGGAACAACTCCTGGAGCAGTTTCTTCAGGAGATACCCAGGAATCTCCCCACAAGCTGAAATATGAAGAACCCGAGTATGATGTGCCTGCTTTTGGCTTTGACTCGGAGTGTGAAGTGAGTGAAAGTCATCATGAAGAGGGCACTCCTGAAAAACGACTGTTTCAGCCCCTCAAGCCCTCACCTGTATCATCACTTCAGAAAGCAAAGTTCAAAGTAGAAGAGTCTTCAGAAGAAGCTACTCATGAAGAAGAGACCATCTATGAGAACGAGGGATTCAGACGTTACGTGGAAGATGCTTTGTCCAATAAGGAATCCAGTGGAGATTCCGATTCTCAGAAAAGCTCCTCTCTGTCCTTGATCCAAAGGAATTCTCCATGTTCCAGCTCTCCTAAATCATCGCTCATGAAGCTCAAGACAGACAAAAACATCCAGCCCGATCTTGGAAAATGTCACTATTCCAGGAGCGAGGAGACAAAACCAAGGTCAGCTTCAGACGTTGGCTTACGTAGCATGTCAAGAACGGGCATGAAGAAGGAGCCTGAGCAGAGTCCTTCCATTAGAGCAAAGCCAATTGTTAGGCCCAAACCCTTTCTGAACAAGGCAGATTCTCAGAGCCAAGAAAAGATGGATATTAGCACTTTAAGGCGTCAGTTGAGGCCAACCGGGCAGCTCAGAGGTGGACTTAAAGGTTCAAGGAGTGAAGAGTCTGCAAGCCCCCCACGCACAGCTTCTGAGAACCAAGATGACCCTGTTAGGAGAGGCTCAGCTGATCTCATCACAGCTCCTTCCCGTGGCATTTTCTGCTCCAGCCATACAGCCAAAACTGAGCAAGAAAATGATTCCAGATGTTTCTATGTGACCACTGACTCATACCAAAAGGTACAGGATTCTGAAATTTGCTTCCCAGCCGGAGTAGAAGTGGAAGTGCTGGAAAAGCAAGCCAGTGGATGGTGGTACCTGAAGTACGGAGACATGGAAGGCTGGGCTCCTTCCCATTATTTGGCTCTCCCTGATAACCAACGAGAAACCACATCAGCAGACGCTGATTCCTCGTTTGCCAGGAACAGGAAAAATGAAAACAAGTCAAACAGTTTGGAGAAGATAGAGAAGAGGGTTCAGGCTTTGAACACCATCAACCAGAGCAAACGTGCAACACCACCCATCCCAAGCAAACCTCCCGGTGGCTTTTCGAAAGCATCAGGGCCGGTTAAAATGAGGAATGGTGTGAGGCAGCTTGCTGTCCGTCCACAGTCAGTGTTTGTGTCTCCGCCACCAAAGGATAATAACCTGTCATGCTCCTTGCGCAGAAATGAGTCTTTAACAGCTACAGACCAACTTAGGGCCGTCCGTCGGAATTCCTCCTTCAGCAATGCATGGTCACAGCCTGGTGACACAAAGGGAAAGCAGCCTGAGCAGCTGGGTACACAGAGCTCTGAGACCACCTCCAACCTCCCTATGCAGAGGAATGGGATCCCTGTGTCCACAGTCAGGCCAAAACCCATTGAGAAGTCCCAGTTTATCCACAACAATCTCAAGGACATCTATGTTTCCATTGCAGACTATGAAGGAGATGAGGAGACTGCGGGGTTTCAGGAAGGTGTCTGCATGGAGGTCCTCGAAAGGAACCCAAATGGCTGGTGGTACTGCCAGATCATGAATGGTGTGAAGCCATTCAAAGGCTGGGTGCCCTCAAATTATTTGGAAAAAAAGAACTAATATTGCAATATCTTTAACCTCCCTAATTTATACTGTTCCTGCTGTGTACATGTGGAAAAAACAATTGCTACACAAAAAGACGTTTCCCTGTGCTCCAGTTTGTACAAAGGAGTCTATACTGAGGACAAATCTGCCATGTTCTGGAGAGGTTTGTGGGGTTTACATGTTGTAAGCAACTATGAGGAAGATGCCGCATAGTCAAATGCCTTTTTGTGAAGTTGTTAATAATCTTGTATGTGTAACAGGGTATGACATCCCATCCTTCCCATTATTGATAGGAAACCAAATGTGTGCCTTTTGTGAGAGAGAAATACACATGTATCTACTTGGGGAGTTCTGTGCCAAACTCTGTTTCACAATCTTGGCTCCCTTTCTCCTCATTCTTGTCCATATGTGGAATACCCAAGAATTTTGAATGCTTTTCCACAACTTACAGTGAGAAGCAAATGAAAGTTTCTGAAACAGAGGGACTCTAATCCTTTGGAGATGCTCACTTTTTTTTTCTTTTTTTTTTTTTACTAAACAGTTGGTAGGTCCAGAGTTGGAGCCTTTTCACAGCTGAGAGATTTGGTCTCTGACTTCAGTGTTGTTACTGCTAACTCACCAGAAAAGGCAACCAAGTGATGTGGGTTGGGGGCTTTTTGTTTCCTTTTGTTCTGTCTTGTTCTTTGAGTTGGGATTTCAGGTGTTCTAGGGCAGTGATGCCTACTGGTGCTTGTAAAAACAAACCTACAAACCCCATGCTTAAGCACATTGATTACTTTGTAGGCTCCATGTTTAGTTCTGTGCCTGACTCCCGCCAGGTGATCCTGGTTGATTCTCTTCCCAGAGTTGGGTTTCTCAAAACTTGTCATAATATCAAAGTGTACAATAGTCCCTTAGGACACTGAAGACAAACCTGTCAAATGTGTTAATTCCTGTTTTGCCCTCTTGTCCGAATCCAAGGGTGCTGACTGCTGGCAGGGCCCACCAGGGTATTAGTGAGAAATATCTGTAACCTTCTGCAACATCAGTGTTTACAGTGAGTAGGGAAAAAAAAAAGCCATCAAACTCAGTCTGCACATCCTTAATTTGTATATTTTTGGGGAATTGTTTTTGTGTTTTGTTTTTGTCTTTTCTGTGCATTCTGGGTTTACTTTATTTTCTCTGTGTGTGTGTATGTGTGTGTGTGTCTGGTTTTACCAGAAGAGACTTAAAACTGAAGTAGGAGCCAAATATGTGTTTCTGTTCCCACTTGAATCCAAAAAGTACATTTGTACTGGAAAGTGTGCCTGGGCTTCTCAGGCTCAGAGATTTAATATCAAAGCAATTAGATCTACAATGCATCTAATCAGGAAGCTGCCTCCTCTAGTTCCAGTTCTGTTTGCCTTACTTAACTCATGCTTTGAAACGTGGCACACGGATGTGGGAAATGGAAGAGCTGTCCATTGGAAAAGGCTAGGAATATGGAGTTATTTTAGAGGTAGCCTCGTACTGTAAACATAATTGACTGAATCCCTACTGTACTTAAGGAAGTCATGCTTTTTCTTTTTTTGTACAGCCTTGTTAATCACTCAAGATCAATATCTAGTTCCTTTAAATAATAGGCAGCCTTGTAAATCTGTTTTAAGGGGGAGGGGCAGACCATTTCACTACTGCTTTACACAAAAAATTACATGTGCTCTTTTTCCACCAGTTTCGTATTGATTTGGCTCAGAAGTTAAAGGTTATAAAGGCTTCAAAATAACTGGGATCAAGGGGCTGAGTAAAATAGCACAAAAATATCATGTTACTGGGGATGTTTCACTGCCAAAAAAAAAAAAAAAGAAAGAAATTAGGCAATTTATATGTTGTTCTTGTCTTTTTTTCCTAATTTTTCCCTTTTTTCTTCTTTTTTATTTTTTTTGGGGGGGGGGGGTGTTGTTTTGGGGGGTTTATTAATTTCCGTGGTATCATTTAGAGAGTTGCCTACAGCTAATGTGACTGATGTCCTTTTGGTAGCTGAAGCAACATCCAGGTGCCACAACTGGCTACAAACAGTGCTGTGGTTTGAGCAGCTCTCCGCATGCAAGTGGGGAGGGGAGGCTGTTTGTTTGGGATCCCTTTACATTGTGGTGGCAGGAGAAGGAGGTGTAACTGCACAACAGCTCATATCACAGTGTGCAGGGTCCTCTTTGTACCTCGATGTCTTACCATATGATACATAAACGTATATCCAGTTAGCTGCATCCTACTGGATGTGTATCTGAGACATTGTGGCCCTGTCTCCCATACTTCTCCCCATTTTTAGTTGTAGTAATATGGTAGCAGCCATAAAAGACTGCTGGAGCTGTTGTGAGATTATAATAGAAGTATTATATTCTTCTGCTGGACAGTATTAAATAGAGCAATACATAGAGTTATCTGCTAGATTGCAGTACTAATAGTAGTGACTTAGTGATTCATATTAATGTTATGATTTATTTTAACAATAATGATGCGGAAGTGGTTCATTATTTTGAATTAATGCACTTTAACAATAAAAGAAACCAAAATGGAAGCCAATGCAGAGAACTAAGTGCATTATTTAAAGGTGCAGTATATAATTATCATTTTCTTGAAGTACATATTTATTAAGAATTAACTTATTTTTTAAAATATTCTAAAGTTTTGTTTAAAGACATTCCCACTAGGTCATCTCTTTGGGGGGATATAAAGCACAGCTCCCAGATCTTCTGCATTGAGCCACTGAATTCTCTGAGTACAGTGTGGCCCCTACCCAGGGAGAGGAGAGCAGCATGCAGGCAGGAGAGCCTGGGCTACTGTAAATATTCGCTTTTGCATCCAGTAAAACCGAACCCAGGGCACCTCTGAACTGCAGGAGTCCTTGCAGTGTTTGGGGAGTCAAAGCTGGTTTTGGCAGACAGTTCCAGTGCCTGGCTGCTATGTGCCTTGCATGAGGCTGGTCCCCAGTGGATGTGAGTTTACTGTGAGGCTCAGGTTCAAGGGCTTCAGGATCTGCCTGTGACAGCTCTGTCACAGACATCAGTCTGTTCCACGGCTCCCATTCCATCCTGCTGACTCACTTCTCCAGCTCTGGCTTTTGCAGGGAGATGGTTTGCAGAGCTCCAAGCAGTGTAGGGTGACACAGAATAAGGGTGCCTGCAGTACTGCCAGGGTTCTTTCAAACAGCAGCTCAGTGCCCTATGGCTCAATTGCTCCTTTATCCCATCTCAGAGGCTTCGTGGCCCTCTGAGGAGGGACCAGAACCTGTAGATGGGCTGCAAAGCCACAGTCATGGCCTCCCTCTCCCTCTGTCCTCACCTGTACCAGCAAAAAGGATGGAGTGCAAATGACCTACTTGATGCTAGAAATGAATGTGGGCCACCTAGCACGCTGGCTTCCAGCCTGGTGGAAAGTTTCAGTTTGAGCTTCCCTTTACGTGGTGGCTCTTTGGCTGCTTGTGTTTAAAAGGGCACTTTGAAAGCAAATACCCCTAAATGCAGTTTTTCCCCCTCCCATTTTACCATTTTCATAGCATCTCTCACTGATCTCTTTTTTTGATCCTTTCAACTGAGAGATATCAGGAAAATAATTTTTTCCATTGGTGAGCAGCTAATTTTGGTCAGTTCTACTTATACCTGAAATACCCTTCACACTGTTAGCTGTGAAACAGAGGGAAAGGCCTTAAGCTACATTAGAAAGGCTGACTGCAGGGCAGGAAAATGTGGCAGGGTGCTCAGAGGACAGTGTAGTGCTAGAAGTGTTTTAGTTCTTTTCTAAAAATGTTGATGTCGCCTTTTATGTACTAAATTTGTCAGAACTGACACTGGATCAAGAGCAATATTTAAATGTAATGTACACCTCAGTGAACACTCAATGCAGAAATCAATAGTACTGTTTAAATTTCTCTTTCTGATTTATTCCTCAACCAGATTGTTAAGAGGAAGAGCTCTGCAGGGCTTGAGCAAAGCCATTTGCAGGTGAAGGGGGCCCTCCTCTGGGTGGAGAGGTGGCTGCTCTCGCAGTCTTGCTCTCAGCCACTCTCCATGCTTTCCAAAGAGTCTTAAATTTGGACCAGCAGAAATTCCAAACTCCAATGCCAGAGAACAAAATTAAAGAATGTGAAAATTGTGTCTTGCTGTATACTGCAACTTTAATAATAATGAGCACTTCTGAGTTCGTTATTGAGGTTTATATAATGCCTGAAAAGTTTAATTGCTGGTTTCCCTTGTCTTCCCTTTCAAAACACTTTCTTATAACACCAAGAGTCATGTATTTTTGTTAGGAGTCCTTCCCTGTGGGAGGCAATTCCTATTCATTGTTTTAGCTGTCACACTGTGCAATGGGTGAGTGTAGTCATATGTACCAGTCCTTTGCAAGCCAAACTTTTCAAGATAAAAGGATGATGGGCACGTGTCGGGATATTTAACTGATGTGTCAACAGGAAGTTTTTAAATCAATGTATACAATAATAGTAAATACACAATAGAGAGATTGAAATTGCCTTGCAGCTAAACTCTTCAAAATGGAATTTTACATCTGCATGGGTATAGCTAAAAAATGGATTTGGCCCTTGTGGATATGCACCCCAAAGACTCCTTCCATTATGATGCTATAAAGTTTGACGAAGGCATTATATAATTGTTTTCATCACTTTCAGATCTTAATGAATCATATTTTATTGTAATATATATTCATTGCTTTCCTCAGTTAAAAAGAAAGTTACTGCTTTTATCTTATATGAAAAACAAGGGAATTTGATAAAGCATTCATTATTTTCATATTACTAGTATTAACAGAATAGAACTAGTACTATTTAATTTTAGATCTTCATAGCTAGCTTGTTAATAACTCATATTTTCCTGTGTTGTATCCTACTATTTTTTCTATTTTTTTTCCCAAATACTCTTCATTCTTGAGAAAAAGCAAATCCAATGAGTGGATAAGTGCAATATTCATAGAATAAACAGGCCCCTCATCCAGGACTTGGAGTGGAACGTGCAGTGTGAAATGTTTGTAATTCTCTATTCATGCACTCTTAGGAGAAGGGGGCTGCTGGATGAAAACAGGGCCTTTAGGTAGGTAGAGACAGACAGCTGGGGTAGTTTGGCTTGGGAATGGCTGCTTTTCACAATAAAGTATCACCTGTTCATGAAAGTGTAAGGATTATGCAGCATGTTGCCAGGATTATGGATAGAATGTGCATTGACATCCTTGTCAGTACAGGACTTCTGAGCTATGCTTGAAACACTCTTTATGTCATCCATGCATGATACTGTCTTCTGGTATGTCTCTGCTGGTTGCAGCCTCTGTTGCGCTTCAGAATTGATGATAAATTCAAAAGGGAAAATAATTCTGCTGGTGCAGTCCCGAATTTTGATACTGTATTATGACTTGTATTTATTGCAAGAGCTATGGAAATATTTTTACAGGTTCTTATTTCTTTTCTTTCCTTATTGTTAACTTAAGAAAAGTCCCCATTTTATCTGGGTTAATTCTCACCTGCAGAATTTCACAGATGATTTGGATATTGATTTCATATTACTTGGCTTGCAAAGGTGGATCTTTTAGGTCCTAAATAAAGTTGGGCAGAAACTTCACTCTTCAAAAGAGGTTTTGTCTTAAATTCTATTTGAATGGAAGGAGACCTTCTGTCTGTCAAAAATAATGTGACTTTCCAGGTAGCAGCAAAATCTACTACCTTTGAAAAACTGGACTGTTTCTGTAAAGTGCAAGAGAAATGTGAAAGCCAGAGCACTTGATTCTCTGAGCTTTGGGAAGTAGATCTCCTGTGGCTCTAGTTCATGTCTCTGGAGAGGGAGTGTACCTCAGTTTTCTGCTTAGTTTTTGTCCTGCTGTTCTCAAGTTTGTCAAAAAAACCTTAATATTGCCAGAGATGTTTGCATTCAAACAGGAAAATGGAATTCTGCAGCTGTACTGAAATAGTATCAATCACACGATTTTGGAAAACCTCTATTACTTTACAAAGTACTAATCTGGTTTTGAGGAGCCAACTTAATTCTTTCACATGCTCTTGTCTAAATTGGCAAGAAACCCATGAGCATCAGTAGACTTACACTGACAGAAGACCCTTGTGGGTGCTCAGCATGGACCTGTTCTCAGCAAAAGCAAGCTCTGCGCACTCTGTTCCTACACCTCTGAAGGGTGCACAGGACTGCTGAGCCTTGGTGCTGCCCTGCCATGGATCCACTGTGCTGCAGATCTTGCAGCTTTTTAAAACCAGCTGGAGCTTTGCTGCTATTTGCTGGTGGTTTCCCATCACTAGCGGCTCCTTCTCTGTCAACTTCAGATGCTATTTAGCCACACATCAAAGTGCTTTGTGTACCAGTGCAGTGTTTGATAGCTGCCAGCAGTACCAACATGATGGGCTGAGAGCATATGTTTGTCTAAGTTATTTTATTTCCATTTGCTTTTAGTTGCTTGCTTGAAGCAGGGACCACCAATGCGATGATGCATGGGGAATGTGTCTGCACACTTGAACTGTTTGATGGCCTCTGCTAGTGCTGCCCAGTGCTTGTGTTTCTCTTTTTCTCCCTCTGTGCTGCTCAGTAGTCATGTCTGTTGTGTGTGTCTGTAATTTTCAAATAAAGTACTGTATGTAAGGCTGGATCCAGAAGCCCCCAGTCAGCTGACTACGGGTTGGGATGTAGGTTGCTGTTGCTGCTTTTCCTCCTCCATCTTAGCCTCAACTTGGAGCAAAGCACAGATGTCTGTAAAGAGTCACCCATAACTCTGCTTTGGGGTGTCAGTTTTGTGGGGTGTGCATGCATTGCCAAGAGTGGAGCGAGGAGATCTTTTTTCTTGGGTGCCCTCACA